TTGTTGTAAGCAAGATGTTGTTGAATACGTTTTGGAGTCTGTTTTTTTTCCGTCTTACCAAACAACAGTCTTCCAGCTCTTAAATAAACTTTACAATCCATTCTGATATGTCACCCACAATGTCTGTAGCATTTTCCCCCAAATAAGGAGCTCACAGACATACACATGGAAGCACACACATTATTTAAAAAAAATCAACATCTGCACATGCGTGGTAAAGGTTCAGTCTGGTGGATCTTTAGCCCTCGCCAGGGCTTCAGATTTAAATGCACCCAGCAGACACAGCCACCTCCACGTCCCACACAGGCTGAACAGCACGCTTCAACAAGTGTTACATTTTTATGCCATTTATAGATCCTTTGCATTATCCATGGATTTTGCTGATCTTTTTCTCTTTGGGTAACAGAGGTGTGCATCAGGAACTACTATGAATCCACTAATCAGGGATTAAACAAAGAATCTGAATAAGCCCTGATTAAATAAGTCCTAGCTACGAAAACTTACCGCTATAAGCTCACTCATCCGTTCTCACCACCTCCGTGTCTGGCAGTATGTATGATGTTTGCACAAGATTTGAGTCTCAGATAGTCCCTTCCTTTAAGCCAATCAAACACTGTATTTAAATCAGACACCTTTAACGGGAATCAGCTATAACTGATACCTGATATGTAAACCTACACCTTTGCTTCATGCTAGCTATGAAGACAGCTGTGCCCAGAAGTGAAACTTTACTTTAACCCTATTCAAGATGTTCATGTTGTCATACGTAGAAGGTCTTGTATATGTGAAAAATATTTGTTGGTATTCATTATAGATTTTTATACTATGTTCCTGATAAGTTGACATACTTTGGTTCCAAATGCATGACAAATGTCCCTCTTTTTACATTCAAAAAAACCTTCAAAAATGAAATAAAAAACAATATCTGTCACCTCAACCAAATGGCCTGGTGTTCAAAAGACCCCAAGAGTCCTGAATAGGGTTAAGGATGGAAACCATATGGAGCCAGAACATAGACTTTTGTTGTCAGAGCAACAAAACATGTGGTCTTGCACTTTTATATGAAAGTATGAAAAGTCGGGGTCCTGGCGGTCAGACCATTTGCTCCTGAGCTGTTGTTTGCTGTCTGCTGCACAACAGTCCGGTTGCATGTTGCATCTATTGGGTGAGGTGGCTCTGCTCTGCAAATGATGGCCACGTGCAGAATACGCTAACATGTTTTTTCTCTGGCTGAGGTGAGCAACGTTGTCAGTGGAGGTTAAACGAACTTTGCCAAGATAAAGTTGGCAGTTGACCAAGTTAACTTCAGATTTTGCTCAGTGTACCTCGCTGCCACAGGCTTTTCATGTCACAACCAGCCAACATAGACACCTATGCATCTTGTTTGTGTCTACTGTGTGCATCAGTACTGGGCAGAGCAGTCTGTTAATCCCAAATAGCCCAGTAGATATGTCATGTCACTGGACTGTACTTCAGTGAGGAGCATATAATACAGCAAATACCACCGCCTCCAGAGCTTTTGTCTTTTTTAGACCATCCGTTCGGAGTTTCAAATCAGAGCAGTGACAACACCAAACAATGTGACCTGCAAGCTTGTAAATGTGTGGGCAGATCTTTAAAAAGTGGATTTTGTAAACTCAGCTCTTGAACTTGGTTTTACATTTTGCAAACCTTTTTAAATTTTTACTTTTATTACATATCCAGCCCTCAAACAGAGTTTCAAGGGTGACACAGAGGTGAAACTGAAAACACTGACAGTTGAACAATCAAACAAAAAAAGATTATTTCTGGAACAAATCTATAACTTCATAAGCAGAGCCAAATTCTAACCGCTGCATAGTTGTGAATAAAAGGTGGGCAAGAGGCTGAGAGGGGAGTCGGTGAAGCAACAAGGAGGGAAACGGACACAACGCCAGAATCACAAATCCCCCATAGCACAGAGGTCTTCTGAGGCGAACGTTTCCCCTCCAGAATCTCCTCGAGTGAATTTTAACGATGTGGTGGAGTCCCAGGTTGTAACAATTTAAGCTGTTGGCTCCGGGGGTAAAAGTAATGTCTGAAAACAAAGTTCTCAGAGCCAAGGTAATGTGAGGGCAAACGGCAGCTGGAGCAGTCTGGTGTGATGTTAGGTCGACGGTGCGCGGAGTGACAGTCCAAACAGAAAAAGCAGCAGTGGTGCTTCTACAGCAGTCAAAGACGCAAGCCTGAACCGCTGTGTAAGTGACTGCAGTTTCCACTCACGAGCGGCGCTCATGGCTGGGTCGCCCACCTCTGATTAGAAAGCATTATTTTTATATATATAAAATTCCCGACACATGTCCCACACTGATGACTCTATGTTAGCATTGACCTTACAAAGTTCAGAATGAATTTAAACTGTAGGAAATAACATCTACATGAACAACAGGACAGAAGGTTTTCCAGAACTATTGTACTATTCACTCAAACTGTTCGTTGGTTTAAATGTTGTAACTGAACGTCGTGTTATTTAGTTTACAGCTAAAAGCAACAAGCAGCATGTTGTTGAACACAGCAAAAACTAAATGAAATGAGACAATAAGACTGTAAGTTCATGGTCAACATGAGTAATATTAAATAATACATATTTTCTGATGCAGCATTGTAAAGTTTTATCATGTACTGGCCCTTTTTTAAAAAAATACATCTTTCTTCAATGCACGGGGCAGCCGTGGGTCGGGTGGTTGACTGGGCTGTTCACTAATTGTAGGAAATGGAAACTTATTTGATTTTAAACGGAACTTAAATGTGTTTTCCCTCCTGAAATGTCATGTGTCTATCTGCTGTACTGATGAAGCTCTGAGGCTCAGAAATGATGGAAAAAGTCCATTAAATATTCATAGCATGATGGTAAAACTTCATCTAAAAACATTACTGTAGATGAAGAACCAGCTGATTCTGACTTTATTCAGATTTGGTTGATGTTACGTGGACTGAGTTAGATGTCAGAAACCAACCAACCCAGTTTACGGCGAGCAGACTTTAAAAAAAAACTTTCAGAAAACCGACAAACTTGAAGGCCGAAGGACACGGCACTTTTTTTTAAAGAGGGAGAAGAAGTGCAGGATGTAGCGACAGGCTTATAAATCTTATTAGACGTTAGTCAAACTACTAATAACACTATTCAGTGCATTTTAGACGTCCTACAAAAAGGGGTAGTTAATGATAAACATTTAGTTTTATTAAAATCAAACATTATTTTGTAACAAACAGCTACAATTTATGATGAAAATGTGTGTCCTTTAGTGCTTAAACGTAATATTTACGTTTTACATTGAATTTTGTGATTATATTTTGTAAAACCTGTCTGTAAAACATAAAAAAAAACAACAAAAAAAAAAAAAACTTTGCAGAACCTCTTCAAATTGCTGGTTTAGACCAAACCTAAGTACAATTTCATTTTTTTCCCCCAAATGTATGACGCATCTGTCACCACAGAAACTGAATAAACAACGTATTCATTCGGTGTGCCTCAGCCTTAAGATGTTTGTTTTAGAGCCACCCCATGTGTCAAACCACAGTTATTTACTACTTTCTCCTTTTGTCGCTGCTTGTCTACATTCTCAATCAGCGACGTCAATGTCGACCTCTGACTAAAAGTTGAATTCCTAAAGAACTTCAGTCGGCAATACGGCAGGTAACTGTGATTTAGATTGTTCTGCCACGGTGCCACCTTTCGGTACTTTTTTTTTCGCATCACTGCAGCTTACAAACAGAAAACCATCATGACTTTATTAGTTTTTAAGTCAGTATAGCAAACCCATCAAAACGACAACAAACAAGCAAAAATATGTCCCAGGTCTGCTCGAAGCTCCCTCAGAAAGTCCTGCATTTGGCAATTTGTTTGACATTTAACAAGGGAGACACACTTTATGCAGTTTGGAATTAGATGGGCTCAGAAGAACTGGCAAAAAAAAAAAATCATAATTACTTTTAAAAATTAGGAAAGAATAATTACATTTTAATTTTGTTGTTGTTGTTGTTTTACAGGGTATATCCAAAGGAAAATGTGTTTCTTAGCCAATGCTGCTCACACATCTTATATAAATACTAAAGTTGGTTTACTACAAACATTTTGTCATTTCCTAATGAAGAAATGTCCTGTTACTACACGCACTTCATTATCTATTTTATAAAACGTGTTTATATTGAGCTCTTAATGAAAATATTTCATTGATCAGCAGGTTCAGCAGGTTCTTGTTTGCTTTGGGGTAATTATTTTACACTATTTGTGGATGAGATTCAAACAATCACCGCAAAGCAACACAACTTGTTGATAGTATATGCATGACAAACACATGCATATTTTTGAATCTACTCAATTCACAGTGCATGACATCGGGTGGGGGACTGTGACGTCCTTTCAATTATGGCTGTACTTGTATGTTGTTTTAAATGTGTTTGTTTTTATGCCTGTCAAAGAAGAATTTCTGTCACTTGGGACAGACAATAAAGTTTATCTTATCTTATCTTATCTTATGTTTTGTAATTAAAGCACAACGTGACTGCTCTTTGCACAAGCACAGGCAGCACAGGATTTACATAGTGTTTGACAACCTGTAAAAATCCTTAATCATCAGACAGACGGCAGTTGAAGACACAGACGGAGAGCAGACGAGTTTTGCAGTGAAAAGTTTGTTGTTCTTTTAGCTTTTAATAATGCATTCATCAATCGCATCCCCATTAAAACCCTCAGACAACTAAGGTGGAAGTCAGTCCACTCACAGCTTCTTTCTAGACCTCCAGTCTTTCAAATAAAACTTCATGACTTGAACTAACAAGGAGAGTAAAACACAAAACATGTATTTGTGGCTCTGCAAATGATCAAACAACATTGGAACTAGTTTACAGATAAACATGACTGACAAGATACAGGCAGAAACTTTTTTAAAGTTGGCACAAAGGACCTGACATGAAACCACACAGTTATTTTGTAAGCAATAGAAACATTACATGTGAGAAAAACAAACAGAAATACTCACCCCCACCATTCTTATAGCAAAGATATGGAAATCTCCACACATTGCCAAGTCCGATAATAGCACCAGCCACAGACAGGATGAACTCCCTTTTGCTGCTCCATTTGCCACGCTCCTCAACAGTTTGTGAAGTAGTCTTTGTGCCTGGATGGCACAGCCTGTGCAGAAAGTCTGCCATGCTGCTGACTGAGAAATGGTCTAGTGACAAGACTGACTTTTTCTGGATTGACTGGCTGGAGAGTTGTCTGCAGATTAGTGAGGTTACCTAAATGAATGGCTGCATGGCCACAAGGGGGACCTCTAGACGTATGCCAAAAAGTAATAAACCGGTATATGGATGACAAACAGGAGAGTGGAGTGTTCAGTGTGACTAATTTCTTTTTAGACATGGTAATGAAGGCTGTGAAAGCAGGGCTCTCCCCCACACACAAGGTATGAATGACTAATAGGTGAATGTTAACGTATACACGACGTCGTGACGTAGCAGCGTGCGTGTTGCGTCACCGCTCGCCTGCAACGCTGCGCTTCACCTCGTCGGTCATGTAATCAGTCTGAACGGCGGCCAAATTCGTGTTGTAACGTAAATTTGATCTCCCCAACCACCTTTTTTTTTTTCCTTTTTGGGCAAAGCTGCTACCCGCTTTTATACTAAACACAGCGTGACAACGACGGTTTCCTCTCTCGCTGCTCAACGCGCTTCATGTGTTGTTTTTTTTCCTCCTGCATCGATAATACGTGTATTTTTTATATATCTTAGTATTTCTTTAACAGTATTGGTGACACGGCTTGCTGAAGTGTAACGCACCATTAGCTTGCAGCGGCTGACCCAGCCCCAGTAGCCGGGGCGAACCGACTCCTCCGGCAGGTGCGGCGCGGAGGGAGGTCGGCTGGGTCCGCACCGAGGTAGCATCATAATAGTAATAATAATAATAATTCATTTTATTTCTATAGCGCTTTTCATCAGCTCAAAGACGCTTCGCAGGACAAAAGCAATAAACAATAAGCAACTAATACAAAGGTAGACAACATAGAAATACAGCAAGCAGATAAAAACAATATTAATAAATAGCAAGATAAAGCCCAGGCTTAGGTGGGAAAAGCAGATGAGTTTTTAATTTAGAATGAATATTACTGGGTCTGAGGTGTCTCGAAAATGTTGTGGGAGAGAGTTCCAGAGGGTCTAAGGCCCGATCCCCCCCAGGTTCGATACCATTAAAGTAAAGGCAAAATTCACAGTAGTCACTCAAATAACTAGAAACCGAAAAAGCAATAATAAATAAAAATTTGCTAAATTAGAATTCAGTTAAATAAGACATTGCTTTTCAATTGTGGTTAAAAAGAATAATCACAAAAAAAAAAACAAGAAAAACTGATAAATTAGATCACTTGGGCCAGAATACCTGTCAACAGGTGCAGAAGTCTGATTGAGAGTTACACAAAACACCTGATTGCAGTGAAAAAATATTTCCGTTGAACCACAATTCAAAAGCAACGTCATGAGTTTCATTGATTTTATTTTTTTAAAATTACTTTTCTCAGTTTCAACTTATTTCAGTGACAGCTGGCTTTTCCCCCCCATTCTTTAATGGGAGGGTATGAATACATCTGAGGACGACTGTAGCTCTGAACAGAAGCCCGTAGCTCACAACTAACCCACCAAGCGGGTTTAACGGGTTAGCGAGGTATGTTGAGTCTAAAACAGAGAGTTTTTAGCGGCAAGAAGGTTTCTGTCTTTAAAGCGAGACTGACACCTTGTTGTCTTAAAACCCCCCCACATGCTTTCAGGTGGTGTTTTCATGTTTGTTCCTGATTTGCTGCCATCTCCATTTTACTCTGCAGCTAATACGACAGCCAATATTAAATCCATGCATCTATTGGTATTTATCATAGAGAATATTCAATCAGTAACAGTAACGTCACTCTGATTTAGTCAAACACTACAGTGACTTTCACGTGTCCTTCATCATGGGACAGTGTCATGTGTCAGTATCATGTGTAAATGTGTGAAGTTTGGAGTTTAAGGGCTCCAATGTGCAGCTGAGTGGTGAAATAAATGCCCTAACTTACATGGTTAACTGCCTTCTACCAGCATCTCTCTGTTTTCGCTCCTGTAATCATTTTTCACATTTTTCTTTGCTCTCAATTCTAACATGATCCTCAGTAATTTCCCAAATTATGGGAATTACCTGCAGATAAAGTTGTCATGCCTGTCGTCGACCCCGGGGGTTTCACATTTCCTCGAGCCAGTCAATGCAAGGAAACTTCACTGAAGACCCCTCGTGAGCTTGATTAACTGGCAGCACTGTTGTGATAAAAGTTAGAATATCCAGCGACTGATTTTTCGCTCATCTTTCACATGATTGCTTCAATGATCAATCAGTCATCAGTGACAGTGAGCTCTGGGCAAAGTGGAGTCGATTAAAACCTGTATATCATCTTGTTTTTATGGCCCTATAACTCTGAAACTTTTACTGTACATGACTGTGGTAACTGCTGTTTCAATAAAACTGACTTGTATGAAGCTTTATACACACTAATCAATGAATAATCACGTGTCATGTTTGGTGACACTGACGAAGCATCATCGCTCGCTATACTATACCGGTAGAATCGTCTTCTTTGCATTATTAGAGTTTAGTTTAGTTTATTAGAGTAGTTTTTGCCATGTTATACAGCGATAAAAAGGTTAACGTGATCCAAAAGAACAGCTGAGTTTGGTTAGCCCTACAGTTATCAGCTCCTCTAATTGCTGAGCCACACATAAACACATACAGCTATCAGTCTGTTTTGCATTCCTAAAAGCGCAGGCTGAGACAGCAATCCTCTACCGTCAGCCTCTCAAACTGGAAAACATAAAACAGAATAGGCCAACCAGTACAACACTTAACACTTTTGCACAACCTAAAATGAGGAAGCAGTGAATCGGAGGAGGCTACGTCCGTGATACAGTTTGCAAATGTTCACTTTGAAACAGACAAGTTGTGCACTGCGATGAATCCTAAAATAACGACGGCATTCTGTGTGTGAGGGACAGGACGACTGATCTGCGTTTCCACAAAAGGAAGCCTTGAGTAAACTGTAACTCACAAAGACAAAAGAATGGATTTGCTGAGAGTAAACTGTAAGACAAGAAATAGCAGCAGTTTTGTCACATCCCAAAAGAGCACTGTTCAGCCTGTGACCACAGTGGAATAGGTATACCGTAATTTCCAGACTATTGAGCGCACCTGAGTATAAGCTGCACCCCCTAACTTAAAAAAGAAAACAAAATTGTACATATACAGGCTGCAGGTTTCCACGTTATAACATGAGATATCTACACAGAAAGATTTTTTAACTTTTAATTAAATACGTACCGGTAACACACACAAATATGTAAATGCTTTTTTCCGAACAGTTCCTGGAACACGGCTGGTTAGAAAAGAAAGAAATACAGTCGCCTACCAGGAAAAGTCACTGATCGCTATCTTCATCTTCCTCCTGCGCACTAAAACCACTAAAATCTTCAGTGTCGGAACTGAACAGCCTCAGAATTACTTTGTCACACACTTCCTCAGTCACTCTTTCGTTGTCGCTCTCAATGTCACTTTCGTCTTGAGGCAAATTCGTAAAACTCTTAATGTAGCTGCATCAATGTTTAAGCCGCAGTGTTTAAAGTGTCTGAAAAAACCAGCGGCTTATAGTCCGGAATTTACGGTAAGTTGTTGTAACACATCAGCTCTATGACAGAATGGACGCCTGTCAGTAGAGCAGGTTGTCCACTCATCAGTTGACGGTTCGATCCCTCCACATGCTGAAGGGACACTGGGCAGGACACTGAACCCAAATGTTCTTGAAGGCAAGCAATCGCATCACGTGGTAGGACTACCGCCACTGGTCTGTGTGAACGAGAAACATTTTTGCCTGCTCTACCACTAAGGTGAGCGCTATAGAATTGCACGCCACCATTTTTCATTATGCAATAACCACACACATTGGAAATCGCACGTCCGTAACAAGTGTGACCACCATTTACGTCATGTGGCGCCACACATCGGCAGCACAGTGTTAAGAAGGTTGCTTGTCAAATGCTGTCTCTTCTATCTTTATCTGTGGAAATAAATATGTAGCTCATCGCTGAAAGCCCTGGATTCATTCGCCGTGGCATCGACTCCACTCGTCACTGTTCACTGTATGGAAAAGTTAAAGGCTGTCAGATGTCCTTTCTGGGCTGACTGCATGCTCACACTGGAATCGGTGAAACTGCTTCTAGCTTTTCTACACACTTGAAACATTTAGCAGCAAACATTAAAGCTTAGCACAACTGTACCTGTAGGTCCATTTATGGACTACACTGCTTCTGAATGTAACGTTTTAACTGCGTTCCTTTCTTTGTCGTCTCATTGATTGTTGCCTTTTTTTATTCTGTTGACTGTACTCTGGATGATATTTTAAATGAAGGTCTTTCCTCAATGGTTCCTCGAGTTTTAACATCCTGGCTGATGTCTGGAGATGTTGCTTCAATATTTCCACATCTTTCCTCATGATGCCATCTATTGTGTGAAGTGAACCAGTCCCTCCTGCAGCAGAACACCCCCACAGAATGATGCTGCCACCCCCGTGCTTCACAGTTGGGATGGTGTTCTCAGGCTTCAAGCTTCCCCCTTTTTCCTCCAGATGTAACGATGGTCATTAAGGCCAAACAGTTCAGTTTTAGTTCCATCAGACCACAGGACATGTCTCCACTCATGAAGCTCTTTGTCCCTGTGTGCATCTACAAACTGTAATCTGACTTTTTGATGTTTCTTCTGGAGTAATGTCTTCTTCCTCTCTGAGCATCCTTCCAGCCCATGTCGGTACAGGACTGGTTCCACTGTGGATAATGACTCTCTGACCAGCTTCAGCAGCATCTTCACAAGGTCTTTAGCTTTTGTTCTGGGGTTGATACGCACATTTCAACCAAAACACTTCATCTCTGGGACACAGAACCCGTCTCCTTCCTGAGCGCTATGATGGCTGGACATTCCCATTTGGAAATTGTACCCAAGGATGAACCAGACTGGTGGAGGTCCACAGGTCTCTTCCTGATATCTTGGCTGATTTCTTTAGATTTTCCACGTTGTCACAAAAGGAAGCAGTGTGTTTGAGGTGTGCCTTAAAATACATCCATAGGTGTGCCTCCAGTTAACTCAAATGTTGACAATTACCCAATCAAAAGCATCCAAAGCCATGACATCATCATCTGGGCTTTTCCAAGTAGTTTGCAGGTGTAGTAATCTTAGTGTCTGTAAACTTCTGACTCTGAAGAAAGTCAGAAAAAACACGTAAACTTGGGGAACAATTTTAATTATGATCATTTTCTGGAGG